CTTGGGGGTGGAGTGGGCCTTGTAGCTTATAGGGTCTGATCCATGCAGGGGAGGGAGTTATAATGTTTTTAAGGTTGTTTTCTTCTGCTTCATCTGTGTTGGGATGTTCAGGTCTTGCTGTTGTAGGACCACTAGTTTCTGGTGGAGACGTATTGCTCTTGATGTTGAGTGTGTTCTACACTGCTCTCTACCCGTCTCTTCCTCCAATGGTCCAGGTGGGGCCTGTGGCTCCTGTGGTTGCTGATATGGCAGGGGATGGTTGGTACAGGGAGGATGTTGCTACTCAGTAGCTGGCACTGCAGTGGGTCGGGGAGGGGCAAGAGATGTGCCCTGTGGGAACTAGGACCTAGAGAGCAGGGCTGTTCAGCTGGGAGCTCAGACATTCACCTCTTCTGCCAATTGGTGCAGGTGAGGCCTGTGGCTCCGGTGGCCGCTGATGTGGCAGAGCATGGTTGGTTGGGGGAAGTTGTTGCTGCCTGGTCACTGAGGCTCTTGCTTGTGTTTTCACAGGTTTCATTAGGTTTCTTCTATCATCTTTGAGGCCCTTTATCATATTCACAATTGCTATTCTGAAGTCCTTGTCTCGTGCTTCAGTTATGTTGTGTTTCTTGGGCCCTAGTGTAGCAGAGGTGCTGGATTCCGATGGAGTCATGATCGCTTTGGTTGTTCATGTTTTGTGTGTGTGTGTGTGTGGGGGGGGGTCTAAGCATCTGGACTTACAACGTTTGAGATGTTTCTTGGTGTTGGTCTTCCTTGGCTCCGGGTCACTGGTGGTGAGTGCTTCTGCAGATTGGTGGGTGGCAGAGAAGAATGGAGATGCCTAGGAGGAAAATGCTGAGAGGGATCCTGAGAAGAGCTAGGGAGGATTGTGTTCACACCCAAAGGTGGAGTCCCCAGGAAGGAGAGGAAAGAGGAGCTCCTGCAGGCAGGCCGCCACAGGGTTAAGAGCAGGTCTGCAGACAGCATAATGGAAGACAGGAAGGGTAGCGGGCAGCTCCCACCCAAGTCCCAGCCTAGTAGGTCACTCGTGGCCCCTTGTAAAAAGTGTTTCTGGGGCTTGGGACTGGACATGGACTGGACTACAAGGCTGAGCTGGGGACGGGGGGAGAGGTCGACAAGCTAATCTGGGTCTACGCCAGGGGACGGAGTCCCAGGTCCAGTTCTTTGAGTGTCTTCACCAGGTAATACTTTGAACTCCAGGTTCAGCAACCTAAATTTGCTTCCCAGGACCCACATGAAGAAAGGAGAGAAACGACACCCACAAATTGTTCTCTGAACTCTGTATGCTCAGTGTGGCACACAAGTGTGTGTGTGTCTACGCACAAATAAATAAATGTAATAAAATACGATTATAGATTTATGTGTATGGTTATTTGCCTACACATGTCTATGTACTGTGTGTGCAGTGCCTGGAGAGGCCAGAAGAGGGCAATAGAGGGCCTTGGATTGCAGTCACAGATGGTTGTGAGGCACTATGTAGGATATGAACTCTGATCCTTTGGAAGAACAGCCAGTGCTCTTAATGTCTGAGCCATCTCTCCAACCTCATAAAATATTTTTTGAAGGCCATAGCCAGGGATCTTGCATACCTCTGGGAGCTTCTGGATTCTCAGCTGTTTTCTGGTCTTAGTACCTGCCTCTAAATTGTAATTTTAGCACTTGCCTCAAAGAAATCTAGACCAGCGCTTCTCTAAAGCTGTGAGTTGGCCTCCCTCAACTTTCAGACCAAAGAAAAAGGACCTGCTGAGAAGCAACTAAGTATTCTGATGAAGCATATAAGGAAACAGACCTAATGAACAAGCTGTTGTAAAACAGCATAAGGAAGACCTTGGTGGGCCAAGGGGCCACACAGCAGGTGAGAGCCCTTGGTGAGTAAGGGACAGGCATACCATGCAGGCAGAGCTCATGTGGGAGTTTTATTGAGATAAAGGGCGTGAGGGAGGGAATAGAGAAAGAGAAATATAGAGAGAAAGAGGAAGAAGGGGGAAGGAGCAGTCTGCCTCTTCAGAAGGACAACCGGGATCAGGGAGCTGGAGTGTGGCTGGAGTTTGTCTCTTAAAGGGACCTTTGCTGCTTCATAGTGGCCCAGCAGCCATAGGACCTTGGGCTGGCTAGGGTACTGCCTGGGTTCATCCTGCCAGGTGACAGGGGCCAGCATAATGCCTGAATCCAAACGCAAGCCAGTGGAGAAAATTTGAAAAGTGGAAGAGAAAGATAACAAGCGCCATTAGCCATGTTTTCAGAAGAGGTCAGAACTGACTGCTCTTGTTTAGCGGTTCCCTTCTGGAATGAAACATTCCACCCTGCAGAAAGGCTCATAATACAGGCAGAAAGCAACTCAAAAGAGCTTCAGGATATCCCCAAAACTGACCAGATTCACTATGCCCCTCCGTCCGCCAGTGTACGTGTGTGTGTGTGTGTGTGTGTGTGTGTGTGTGTGTGTGTGTGTCTGTGATGACTGCATCTCTCGGACAAGCCAAGCTACAAGGAAGATTCTCAGACAAGTCCAGCTGCCTGGAAGAAGCAGAGAGCCATGAGCCACCTGGAAAGGACACTCTCCAAACTGTTGAGCTGCCCGCAGGCCATGCAATGCACTCCAGCTTCCTAGATTTTGTGACACCCAGATTGGCATAGGCTACAGGAGTGCTGGGATTAAGCCTTTTATTATCGACAGTTGCACACTGGACCAAACGGGAGACAAGCGGCTCTGACCTGGGGTGTGGGGTGGGGTGAGGTGGTGTGGCGGGGTAGAGGGGGTGTGGGAGATGTGGGATGTGTGTGTGTGAGTTGGCCAGCATTGACCTTGACAATAGGTACCAGTCAAGGGTTCTGGAAGGCCCACAAGTCCCTCTTGCTAGAGACAGGAAAAATGACTACCTTATCAGGCAGGAACTTTCCTCAAATCCCCAGGCAGTAGACACCCACACCCAAATTCCTGACCTTGGGGAAAGTACTTCTTCTGGGGAGCAGACAGTATTACTAAATGGGCCGGTTTCCCTCATAACTCCCCAAAGGGAAGGTTCTGATGTCTTACTCTTCTCCCATTATACTGCTCCATTCTGAGTTCTCGTATTTAACTCCTGCCCTGTGAGGACCTGACTTTGCAAACTCCATTTTAAAGGAAGGGCTTCATCTTAAGTCATATAATGAGCTGATTACGGAAGGGAAGTTTGCTGCACTTCTCCCACCGCTGAGCTGCGTTGGTGTGGGGGAGGTGTAGTCCAAACTCGAGTTTGTATTGAAAACCCTCACATAATCAGCATCAGAAATCTGGCTCCATGAATTCATTTGGGGACCAAAAACTTGGTGATAACCGCCCTTAATGGGTTTAGGTTCTGGATCTGAACTGCAGGCATTTCATCCTTGGGATCTCTAACTTTCCTGGTTTCATAGTGGCAGGGATTTTTTTCCCCAAAGTATTATTTTGTTCAGAGAAGCTACCATTGTACACATTTCCACCCTTTACCAAAGCCCGCACAAAATTTCCCAAAGGGAAAGGCATTAATATTCAGAACCATTGAAAATGAAGGTCATAGGTGCTGAGAAGGGAGGTCTGCAATGAGGATTTGTCAAGCAGTGATGGCCACCGTGCTCCACGCCAGTAGGCTTTGGTGATGTAGTTGTTTGAGTCACTGCCACGCCTGTAAGGAGCCCCCACCCACATTCCTGTAAGCAACCCCAGCAGAACTCACTGCTTCACCACATCTGGTGACCACCACCATTTGGTCTGAAGCGGGGCCCTTCCTAGGGTGAGCAGATGTGTGTGCAGTGCATCCATACAGGAAAAGCCAGTCACGCAGGTGCCCAAAGTAGCCACATCTGCCAACCACTCAGGTGTATTTATTTATTTAATGTGTATGTGTTCCTCTCCATGCAGAAGTCAGAGGACAACTTGGAGCAGTCAGGCTTGTTTAGTGAGTGCCTTGACCATTTGAACTCTCTTGCTGGCTCCTGATTTTTGTTCCATTTTAAAAATATTTAATTAGAAAACGTTTATTATCTAATTTTGTGTGTGTGCGTGCAGGTGCTAAGGCATGCAACTGTGTACAGACCACAAGACAGCTTTGTTCTTGGCCCTCTTCTGCCACCTTGTGGTCCAATAAAAACTGCACGGACTCTACCCTGCTACGGACTTCGGGGAGGAAAAACTTTCTGATCTTTTTTTTGCAGGAAGGCGAAGGGGTGGAGGCCACTGTACAGTAGCAAAAAGAATTCAAGCTCAGCCTCATTCCTCTGTATGTTGGACTCAGAGATTCCACTCTGAGCAAGCAGTGGCTGGCAACATGGACAGATAACATTTGTGAACACGAATCCCTCTAACCGCCAGCAAGGGTTTTGTATACTGTCCGGATGACCTAGATCTTGTTGTGTAAATCAGGCTAGCTTTGAACTCCTCTTGTCTTTGCCCCCTGAGTGCTGGGATTAGGGATGTATGCCATCACGCCTGGACACGTTCTCTCTTTAAACTTCATTTTACACTTTTTGCGTGAGTACACGCGGGAGTGCCACAGTAAATGTGTGGAAGGAAGTCAGAGGATAATGTGAGAAAATAGGTAGTCAGGCTTGGCAGCAAGCGCCTATACTCACTGAGCCATCACACCGGTCTAAACCATTATTTTGAATTCACAAATTCATGTGTAAAACAACCCATTAGACTCTTCCCTTCTACTTCAGAGGCTCAGTGATTCCGGCTTCCAGTTATCCATTAGAGAAGTAGGGAAGGCTTCCGAATGAGGACGCCACTGTGTGGTCTGGAAAGCCATGAATAAACTCTGCGGCAAATATGCTCCTATCCTACCTCCAACGGGAACGGCGTACGGGAGCCACGGGACCCGCCTAACAAGCACCTCTCACCGTGGTTCTGGCGTTACCCGTCAACCAAGACCACGGGGGCGGAGCCTGAGCGCGGGAGACGTCGCGCGCTGTCCAATGAGCACGCGCGGGTCCGTTCCATCGCGGGATCTGGGCCTCTCGCTCCGCCCCCTGCAGGCGATTTGACCGGGCCGCTGGCCTTGGGTGCCCCGCCTCCGAGGAGCGGTGACGGGCACGGCCAGGCGCCGCCGGCCCGGGAAACCCTGCTGGCCCGCGAGCGGTGAGTTCAGGGTCAGGAGGTCCCGAGAGACCGGCGGACGAGCTGTTGGAACCAGCAGGGCAGGGCTTTGGCCGCCTCTCGCCAGCTAGGCGTCTGCGCCACGGACGCCTCCGGTTCCTCTCGGTTGACTGGTTCGCTTTCGGCCTGACAGGGTTCGGCTTGTCCTACTTCTGTTGGACTCTGCTCTTTCCGGCTCCCTTCGACTCTGTCCGCCTGGCCGTCGCTTCCCTCCGCGGGCCAGAGGTGGCAGCGGGACCGCGGTATCCATTCGCGTCCGTGGACCCAGAGCTGGTGCTGTTTTTCGGTCAGTGCAGTGATGGCAGGCGGCTCGTGACGAATCTCCGGGTTCCGGTGCGGGTCCCCAGCCGGTCCTCGGCTTATGGGAAGCACTCAGGTGCTGAAGTCTGCCTTCGTCTGAAGTGACTCAGGGTTTGTAGGTCTCCTTTCACGTCCCCAGTTCACAAAACGTGATCAGCTACCCGCCCTTCATTCTACTTTTCAGATGACGTACTTCCCAAAGGACTAGATGACACCTTGTGGTGTTTTGAAATGCCATTCTTCTACCCCCTCCTCAGTACTGATATTCCTGGCTCACCACAGGCAGGTTTTGAAGACACTCTTTTAAAAAGATTTGTTTACTATTTGGGCGTGGTGGTTTAGGGACACTGATGGAGGACCACAAGTTTGAGGCCAGCCTGCAGGTCCAGCAATCCTCTCTCGTCTCTAACCCGCTCAGTACTGGAGTTGCTGACTGTTTCCCCGCACCCCTTCCTTTGCTCTCCCCTCCCTTCTTCCCTTCATTTTGTCACTCGGTGGTGCTTTTCTCATACAGTTAAGAATCCTTTGCTCTGCGGGGGACGTGTGTGATGTCTGCGGTCGCTGGTAACTGCTGCATGTGACGGTGGATCGGTGGATCGGGCCAGAACAAGGTTGAGGAGCCCGCGCTGGGGCCGCTGGGTTCCTTGTGTGTCCTCAGGAAGCGTGGCCTCCTGTCTGGATGAATGAGGAGTCGGGACGACGGGAGGATAAGACAGGAGCAGGCCAGCACAGGAGCAGAACCTTGAAAGCAACCGACTTTTAAGAAGGGAGAAGGATGTTCCCGTCTCTGCCCACCCTGACTGTCCTCATCCCGCTGGTGAGCCTGGCAGGCCTGTTCTACTCCGCCTCTGTGGAGGAGGGCTTCCCCCAGGGCTGCACCAGCGCCAGCAGCCTGTGTTTCTACAGCCTGCTCTTGCCAGTCACCGTGCCCGTGTACGTATTCTTCCACCTGTGGACCTGGATGGGGCTGAAGCTCTTCAGACATAATTAGTGCAGCCCCGCCCCCCTGGCTGGGAAATCTGCGCAGGAGATTCTTGGTGACTGGGCTCTGCCCTCAAGGTTTGCAGATTCTGATGTCAGTGCTGTAGCCGAATAACACTTCCAATAAAATGTCTTGAGGGAGAGGATACCACTAGTCTATTGAAGACTATTTCTTTTTAAGACTTGTTTTTAATTACGTGTCCAGATGTAGGTATGTGCATGTGCGTGTGAGTGGTCGAAGAGGCCACAGAGTGTCAGATTCCCTGGAGCCGTCCTACATGGGTGCTGGGAGCTGAATTTGGGTCCTCTGTGAGGATCGCAAGTTAAGTACGTGCTCTTAACCCCTGAGCCATCTCTCCAGACGACTATCTCATTTCCTTTCTCTTCTTTTTTAGTTCAGACTAACCTCAAGCTGTGGGGAAGATGACCTTGACCTTTCTGCCCTCCTGCTTCCACCGCCAGAGTGCCCAAATCACGGGCAAGCACCACCACATCCATTTCTGTGGTGCATGCTAAGCCAGCACTCTCCCAGATACCCAGCCCCTAAAGACCATTTTTTAAAAAATCCCATTCTTTTAAATATTAGTCCTTTGGAAGCTGAGCATGGTGGCACACACCTTTAATCCCAGAACTTGGGAGGCAGAGACAGGGGGATCTCCATGAGTTTGAGGCAGCCTGATCTCCAGAATGATTTCCAGACCAGCCATGGCTGCATAGTAAGACTATCACAAATAATAATTTGGAATTTTGTTTCAAGATCAATGGTAAAGTCTTACGTTATGAATGACTCCACTGAGAGGAGCTGGATGGAAAATGTGTTAGAGCCGGTGTGACGATAAAACTGTCAGTTCCTGGAAGCTGGAGATATCAAATACTTATCCCCATCCTGAGTCTGTGTCTGCGCAGATGGCTCTGCAGTTTCTTGGCACTGGTGCTCTTGAAAAGGACCCCATTCAGTTCCCAGTACCCACGTTGGTGGCTCACAACTAACTCCCTCTTCTGGACTCTGGGCACCTGCAAACATGTGGCATGTATTCACACACACACACACACAATTTTTTTAAAAATTTATTTATTTATTATGTATACAACGTTCTTTCATGCATGCTTGCATACCAGAAGAGGGCACCAGATCTTATTATAGATGGCTGTGAGCCACCATGTGGTTGCTGGGAATTGAACTCAGGACCTCTGGAAGAACAGTCAGTGCTCTTAACCTCTGAGCCATCTCTCCAGCCCAGCACACACAATTTTTTTAAAGAGGAAAACAAATCTGACTTTATAGAGTTACCTTTATTTTTTTAGCATCAGGTATTATCAGATGGTGGAGGTCAGGGTTAGGGTCGGTGTTTCCTGATTCTTGGATTCTTATTCAAGGAATTGAAATAAAAGCCCACATACAGACATGTAAGGTTACGAGGAAACTACGCAGAGCGAGGCTATAGAGCAGGCGTGCAGATATCTGAGCCTACAGGGCTGTTCTTGGCTGCCACTCCTGTTCTCCCAGCCTTAATTCCTGTGAGCCTCCTTATAGCTCCTGCACCACAGCAGAGGACCTGCCTGGGCAAGCCCTGCACACACACCTAAAAATAAACACAAAGCTTGCAAAAAAGAGGGAAAAGGTTCTTGTGGGCTGAAAGTTAGTCTACCCTTACTTGAAGGCAAGTTCCGAGATGGACTGAGGGAGTTGTGGTCTTGACCTGAACTCACTCATTTCCAGTTCCTGATGCCTCAGTGAGGCTGAGATTTGGCTCCACTGGACACAGAATCTGGAATTCCTTGAGTTCTTTGGACCCTGTGACCCCGAGACTGTGAACAAAATTCCCTTGGGTAAGTCCCAGACACCCTGGAAAGAGGATTAAAGAAAAGTAGTCAAGAGGCTGGAGAGATGGCTCAGAGGTTAAGAGTGTGTCCTTAGTTTGCTTAGAAAGTTTTTGGATTTTTTTTTGAGTGTTTTGCTTTCATGTATATATGTGCACCATGTTCACATAGTACACTCAGGGCCAGAAGATGGTTCAGATCCTCTGAACTGGAGTTACCAGAGTGAATGTGAGCCACCACGTGGGTGCTGAGAACTGAACCCGTGCCTTCTTCAAGAACAGCAAGTGTTCTTAACCTCTTAGCCATGACTCCAGCTCCTAGTTTGTTTTTTATTGCTGTGATAAAACACCAAAAGTAACTTGAGGGAAGAAAGGGTTTTTTTGACTTCCATTTTTATATTGTAGTTCATGATTGAGGGGAGTCATGGCAGGAACTGAGGCAGAGACAGTGAAGGAAGCTGCTCACTGACTTGCTCCCCAGCTCACATTCAACTGCCCTTCAGCCCAGGCTTACTGCCTAGGGATGATACCCCCAGAGTGGACTGGGCCCTCCTATATCAGAAATTAAGAAAATGTGCCATAGACACACCCGCGGGCCAATCAGATGAAAACAACTCCTGATGCTCTCCCTTTTTAGGTGACTCTAGTCAAGCTGAAAAAACGAACCAGCACAGAATGTGACCAGAGATTGGTTCCCAGTGTTGATGTGGGGTGGCTCACTGTTGCCTGTAACTCAGTGCCCTCTCTGGCCTTCTCAGACAACTGTACTCATGTGCGTGTACCCAGGTCCTGACATACAGATAGTTTAAAATAAATCTTTTTAAAGAGTGTCAGTTTATAGGAACCAGAAATCCCAGCGGGAGAGGGGTCAAGGAGATGGGGGCTGCCTTCCCCAAACCTTCCCGCTGTCTGGACTTGCCCTAGTTTTTGTTTGTTTGTTTGGTTGGTTTTGGTTTTTTTTCTTTTCTTTCTTTCTTTTTTTTTCTTGGCTGAGACAGGGTTTCCCTGTAGCTTTGGAGTCTGTCCTGGAACTAGCTCTTTTAGACCAGGCTGGTCTCGAACACACAAAGATCTGCCTTCCTCTGCCTCTGAGTGCTGGGATTAAACGTGTGCACCACCACTGCCAGGCTACAGTCTAGATTTATTTATTTATTTATTTATTTTTGGCCGAGACAGGGTTTCTCTGTAGCTTTGGAGCCTGTTCTGGAACTAGTTCTTGTAGACCAGGCTGCCCTCAAACTCACAGAGATCTGTCCGCCTCTGCCTCCCAAGTGCTGGGATTAAAGGCGCGTGCCGCCACCTCATTCTAGATTTTTAAAAACAAATTTGATGTTATCCAGCCAGTTTCTATTTGAAACAAGTTTTGTAAAGACAAGAGATGGTCCGATATCAGATGGGAGATCCAAGTCTTCATTGGCTTCCCCAGGGATAACACTTACAGGTCCTTATAGGCTCTAGAAACAGAACTTTGAGGTGAAGTGTGAGGTGAGAAGACATCTGAGACCCAACTCCTCGGAGAAGGAGTGCTGGTGTGAGCAGAGGGTGGAATTGTATAGCTCTGATCTCAGAAGCTTAGCTGTCAGACCCTGTGAGATGGCGTAGGGGTGCTAGCTGTGCAAGCCCCATGGTGGAGGCAGAGACCTGTCCCTGGGGCTTGGAGAGATGGCTCGGCTGGAAGGAACACTGGATGCTCTTGAGCCCCCACAGAGCAGTTCACAACCATCTGTGGTCCCCAGAGAGTCTAATGTCCTCTTCAGGCCTCCACCAGGCACTCATACAGTGCACAGACTTACATGCAGGCAACATACCCATACACATTTTTTTAAAGCATGTCACACCATGCCATAGTGTGTTTCCCTCCAGTAATAATAAACAATATTATTTGAGACACAGTCTGTGTAGCCCTGGCTGTCATGGAACTTGCTCTGTAGACCAGTCTAGCCGCAGAGATCCACCTGCCTCTGCCTCTGGAAGGCTGGGATCAAAGGCTTGTGCCACCACACTGGGCCTTCTTATTCTTTATTTTTTTTTAAATAACACTGCTAGGATTGAACCCAGGGCTTCTTGAATTCTAGGCAAGGACTCTGCCAACTGAAGTACATCTCCAATTCCCATCAGACATTTTTGCAGGCCCTTAGTAATGAAAAGGTGGTGTTTTCTGAAGGGCTTTTGGTCGACCTGAAAGCCTCCGGTGAGAGTTGACAAACATAACATTTGCGGTGGTTAGGAGCTGGGTGATGCCTTCCTGATAATGCACAATCTTCCTGTGTAGGGGAAACACCTGCAGACAGGATCGTCCACTCCAAAAGTTCCCTTTGATTTGCTCCACCCCCGCCCCTGCCCTTCATTTGATTAAAGAATGGTCCACTTCTGTGGAGGCCGGCCTCTGTTTTCTCGTCTGCTCCATCAACCCCGATCTAAAATTTTCAGCTGATTTGAGATGGACAAAGGCAGAGCTAATAAGAACGCACTCCTTAGTGATCTGGAAACAAGCCCATGTCCCGTCAGGTGTCCTAGTACCCCACGCATGAAATTCTAGTACTCAGGAGGAATTGGAGGCCAGCCCTAGGATATATAGACCCAGACCTCTTACAAAGAAAAGAGACACAAAAGGGGCAGGGAACTGGGGGTGTAGCCACATTGGTAGAGTGCTTGCTTGCTACGCACAAGGGTCTAAGTAACATCTCCAACACAGCATAAACACAGCGGGGCATGATAGCACTTATAATCCCAGCACTTAAAAGGCAGAAGGATCAGAAGTTCAAGTTCATCCTTGGCTACTTAAGTTCATAGATGCTAGCCTATGCTACATGAGACCCGGTCTCAAGAAAAAAAAAAAAAAAGCTAGAGAGTTTACATATGTTTCTCCTTAGCTGCCCCAGTCAATTTGAGATCCTAGACTTTCTAGGACCAGGAGGACACTTACACGAATTTATCCCCGAGTCTTTCCCCTCTGTCGCTCAGGGTGAAGGGGCGGGACTGCAGTAACTGTCCAATGAGATGCGCCGCTGGAAGGGGCGGGCTCCGCCTCGCAAAGCCATCAAAGGACTGAGGCTCTAATGGGAGGGTCTGTCTGGGCATTGCTGGTTGGGGTCTCTGCCTCTGTCCGTGCCCTGCTGTGTCCTGAAGAGGACCCAGAACCCGGAGACGGGCGTCAGTAGGACCTCCTGGGCAACGGGATGGTGAGTGCAGCCGGAGATGGAAAAATGCTATGTGACGCACCCTTGCGTCACTTGGGAGTCTGCGCCCAGTTTGTGTCCCGTGTCGCCCCGTTTCCACTACCCCCTCGAGTTCGGGCTCCCGCTAGGTCCGGCTTCGGCCTTGCT